TCTCTCTCTCTCTCTCTCTCTCTCTCTCTCTCTCTCTCTCTCTCTCTTGTCGTCCTCCGCTCAGGTCTAGTTTCAAACCCCCAGTGGAGGTGAAGCATGGGCAAAGGTGAATTTCAGAGCAGATGTAGCGAGTTGCAAATTAGATAAGTGTGTGTTAAAACCTGCAGGAAATACTTACAGTCAGGGCGTTTATCAATTTGGGAATTATGAGACGCTGATCTTTTCCAGGCCTTTTGTTAAAGCCACATTTTTGCAGGTCAATTTTCTTTCTTTTTACTTAAATGAAAACGACAGGAGAACTTTGAATGATATGACAGAATTAAGCAGGCCAAATGTGTTTCAACCTTTTGGTGTCACTTTTCAAGTTATTCTAATTATTCTAATATTATTTATAGATGTGTATATATATATTCACTGTCTTAGGATTTTAAAAGTGTTTCACTATTCATTAAATCAGAGAAGACTAAGTATAAAGTGTCAAGAATAACAATATATTTATTTGATTGTATAACTGGACCCTTCATATTTTAACTATATGAAGGAGGCAATGCGACAAGATTGTGTGTATCTAAAAATATTCATTTTTCTTTATACGTGTGGGTAAAAGGGGCTCTGTGGTAGAATGTGTGGTATTTTGGGAATGCTTCTCATGGTTTCTGTATAATAATATACAGTGAATTGTAAAGAGATCCTGTTGGAATATTACTTCAACAATTCTCTCTGTTTGCACAATTGGCTTCTGTGTGTGTGTGTCTGTCTGTCTGTCTGTCTAATTTAAAAGGTGGTTAAAAGGATAAACACCATTAGGAGCATGGACGTATTTGTAGTTGTTAGTGTCTCGCTCTGCTCGTCTGGTATGGAAAGTATGTGCCTCGCTGCACACGATGTAACAGTAGTTGTTGTTGTTGCTCTGTTTGTAGAAGGTCATTTTCCTCTGAGTAATTACACACACAGAAGCACAGGGGATGTCATGTGTGACATGTAATTGCCCGCTGTGGACTAACGCACTGTTGTCGGCTCTTTTCTGTCAAAGACACGCCTTCACCTGTGTGTGTAATCGATCTCAACACTTTTGGTCAACCATTTGCTTTTCATAATCCCAAAAAGAAAAAGAGGAATGGAGAAGAAAAACATCCTCCCCTCAGATCTGCTGCCAGGTTTTTATTTTTTTCTATATTTGCACTCCCTTTCATCTTGGAAAAAGTGGGGCTGCTGGTTATACGTGATCAAAGCTAGATGTCTCTTTATTTCTATGAAAAATCAAACAAAAGCTTAAGAAACAAATGAAAGCAGAGAAAGACCCTTGTGAACATCACTTCCTATAGATTCAGCTCGGTCCTGATCCCTTAATGCTCGGCATCTACAGAGACAGAGGAGTGTGAGTATGTGACCACGCAACTGCTGAATTACCTTGAGCAAAGGAGGAGGAGGAGGGGGGGATGGGGGGGGGGACACGACGCTTCTGCTCTTGGAAGTGGCAGTTGGACCTTCAGTGGAGCTGTCAAAAGCCAAGGCTGCTCTTTGTCCCGTTGGGAAGTACCCGGAGGGCAAGCAGAAATGCTGTGGTTTCCTTTTAAAATGTGACTCTATTTAGGAAACTGACGGAAGGGTGGAAGCACTCGCAGTCACGTAACAATGGCATTTCACCGTCTCCAGTTTCTCACCACAGTCAAAAGACTTAATGCTGTCATGTCTGCCTTTACAATCAGAGGAGACAGTCAAAGAGATGTAATTATTTGAGCTTCCAGTTGAACCAGTTCTCATGGGTCGGCAATTATCAACTTTTCTCGAGCATGTGATGTTTTGCTTCCACCTCCGTCGGGCTGCTTAGACCGCCGTGAAAGCCTGCGTGGAGGTGTTCAGCTGAAGAGAGTCGTACTCTGCAGAGGACCGAGTCCTGAAAGTGTCGGGCGTTCTGGTCGTCAGGACCCGTGGGCCCCCCTCCCCCCCACACCAGGCCCGGGCCTCCACAGGTGTTGGTGCCGTCATCACCTTCCAGTCCGCCCACTGCTTCGGCTAATTGGATAATTGGGTCAGATGAAGGTTTCGGGCCGGAGCCCCAAAAAGACCCCTGGGACGTCTAAAGGTCCCCAGCAGTGTAAACAAGCCCCGATACTGCCTTTTACTGTCAAACAAGTGCCGCTCGAGACTCTCACCACGTCAGCCTCGCGTGTTTTGTTTTGATGAAAATTCAAGCTGGCTTGCTCTGCGGCTGCCGAGTGTCATCTCTGCTTTCATGACTGTGACAGCAAGTTTTCTTTTTTGTCCCGTGTCTCTCCTGTGGTGAGCTGTCTGAGGCTGGCACGCATACGCGAGCACCCACAAGCCCCCCCAGCCCCTCCACTCCCACCACCACTTGAAGCTACGCCCTGCTCCCTCTCGTCCTGTACAGGCATGCATTGGTTACCCTCCTGCATGCCTCCTTTTGGTGCACATCTTGGTCAGCCCCGTGGAGTGTATGGGTGCATGACTGAACATGGGGATAGCTCGTGCAGACGGCTATAAGATGTAGAGTATGACGCATTATATATTAGGATTTAAACGAGGTTAAATCATTTTATAACCTTTGAAAAAAAGTTAATGTAAAACCATGACGGGATCGTGAAGACCGAGAAACCACTAAACACTGAATCTGTATAAAAAGACTATAATGAGCATTTATGACACTGATTTAAATGATTTCTGAAGCTACACGAAGAAGCTTTTAATCAGCCGAATAATGGAAATGAATTCAAATTGATTGCATTCTGATGTTATTTTGATCTTAACACACAATGTGGTGCTGTTATGTAAAGCCACTTTATCTAGTGGAGCTCATGCTTTCATCTTAAAAAGGATTTTCAAGCTCCTCAGAATCTAATGATAGCGCAGAACACAAGCACATTACAATGCAGGCCTGTTGTCACAGTTGTGATCTTTATTCCTACTATCTAATGTTTGCAGTGGCAGTCTACTTCTT